TTGGAGGGGTATTCATGTTATGAATTTCTTACCAGTTGTTAGGCCATTGACCGCGCGTCCTCGAGAGAACGGAGCATGGTTCCCACAGGAAGCGAGGGGGGGGAGGGGGTGTTTGCGGGGAAGAGACGGGAGTCAACTCGGGGTCTGTCGTACAGGGGGGTTGACGGCGACAGTTACTCCGGAACAAAAGTTACCCCTTGTTGATTGTGCACATCATCGTTGCTGTGGTTGACAGTTGCCTCGAAATCAAAATATCTGTTGGTTACACATCATCACTGCTGCCGTAAACTGCGGGACACGATTCTCCCAAAACGATGATCAAGATGGCAGCAGCGGCGAGCAGCTGCACAAGCGACTGGCCGACAGAGCACTCGAAGAGCAAAAAAACACGGGGTGCGCCCGCAGAACCACCACAGCCAACGCCGGCGAAACCGTCGTGATCTGTCAGAAGAACGTCATGCAAAAAAAAAAAAAAAGCGCCCAGAGGTCTGGCACCACAAACACACCGCTGCGAGACCTTTAATAAACCCTTAGCTCACCTCCTTGTTCATGGCTTCCCACGTGAGGTCAGACAGAGTCGCGGACCCGCCGGCCAGCGCCAGACACCACGTGCCGCTCAGCAGCATCCCTACGGCCACGGCCCCCTCCAGGACCGCGAAACCCAGGAGAGAGAAGCGGTTGCGGAGCCGGGCGCCGGCGGCGCCGAGCAGCGCCAGCAGGAGGAGCAGAGAGCCCAGGCACACGGCGGTCACCGCGCACCACTGGAGGCCGAGCACGGTGGCCCTCGAGAGGCTGAAGGCCCCCGTGACGACGACGGCAACGGCCAGCGAGGCCGACACCGCGTTGGCGAAGCACAGCCAGCGCACCAACTGCGGGGGGGGGGGGGGGGGGGGGGGGGGTTTCCGGGGGGGGGGGGGGGAAAAAAAAACCACGGGGGGCCGGGGGGGAAAAAAAAAAAAGGGGGGGGCTCCCCCCCGGGGGTAAAAAAAAAAAAAAGCCAAACTCGAGCCATTGGAGCGAGAACATGGAGCGGAACGAGTTGCGCCGCACCTTTGTTGAATTCAAGACGAGAGC